CAGCCGTTCTTCGATGTATCCACTCTTACCAGGTATGTAAATATGAAATGGAATTTTTTAATAAAAAATACACGTTTATTGCATGAAAATGATAAAAAATATTTTATTCGAAGTATTGCCCATCGCTAGCTATACATTTTTCCCACCTGTCTGACAACGATTTGTGGATGCCACGCCAAAAAAATTGTTGCTCTTCTGAGCCAAACCAGTCATCTAGCCATTTTTGTACATCTTCGTAAGAAGTGAAGCGCTGCTGAGCAAGTGCGTGTCCCATCGATGCAAATAATCGATGTAGTAATCGGACGGAGCCAAGTCTGGTGAGTAAGCCGCATGCGAAAGTATTTCCCAACCAAACGCCTCAATCGTTTCCTTGACCAGTTTTGCTGTGTGTGATGGTGCATTATCATGAAGGAAAATCACTTTGTGTTGCCTTTTTTAATATTCCGGTCGTTTTTCACGCAAAGCTTGATTCAAATTGATCATTTGTTGTCGGTAGCGTTCAGCATTAACGGTTTCGCCAGGTTTTAGCAGCTCATAATAGATCACACCTTTCTGATCCCACCAAACTCAGAGCATTATCTTCCGTCCATAGCGATTTGGCCTTGCAGTCGATATCGATGGTTCGCCTGGAGTTACCCATGATCATTTACGCTTAGGATTCTCAAAGTATATCCACTTTTCATCGCCAGTCACAATTCGATGGAGAAATGACTTTTTTTTGTACCTGGCGAGCAGCATTTCGCAAGTGGTTTTTCGGTTTTCCTGCTGTCTTTCATTCAGTTCATGTGGAACCCATTTTCCCATATTCTGAATCTTTCCCATAGATTTCAAACGTATGAGACGGCTTCTCGTGTCACATTCAATTGATTCGCGAGTTGTTGTTGAGTTTGAGCGTCATCCTCATCCAACAATGCTTGCAATTCGCTGTCTTCAAACTTTTTCGGTGGTTTTCCACGTTCTTCGTTTCTCACGTCAAAATCGCCACCTTTGAATTTTTTAAACCACTCAAAGCACTGTGATTTACCAAGAGCATGCTCACCGTAAGCTTCGACAAGCATTCGATGCGATTCTGCAGCAGTTTTCTTCAAATGGTAACAGAAAATCAATGCTGTCCGCAAATCGTAGTTTCCAGGCACAAAATTCGACATGTTCAACGCTATTACAAACTATACTGTTGTATGAAATTTGTATTGTTGTGAGTTGAAAATCTTTGTCAGATGTCAGAACAAGGAAATGGCGTCAATGACGTGGTCTGACGGCAACTACATTGACAGCTATGGCCATCTATTGGTAAATTCCGGTTTCATATTTACATACCTGGTATATATATATATGTATATATATGTGTGTATGTGTAGAATAAAAGGTGCAGCATTATGAGAAATTTTACCCGTGTTCTAATGAACACTAATAAAATATTTTTTTTAATCGAGTTCCCAAAGGAGACTATGATGAAAGATAATAGTTCTCGCACATAGGATACGGCAAACATTGTAGGATCCAGAAATGGGATGTATATTATCAGTCATACAATTTTGTTTCGTTTTGTGTAAAAATTAATTTAGAGATTCGATGTTATTAAACATTATATGTGCCAATATATATAAAAACTAATAGCGTTTTTGGCCCGACTAGGTTTGCACCAATCTGTGTTGGAAAATGTTTTGCTGTTAGATGACGTTACACACTCTACCAATAAGGCCCACTTTCGCAATATATGGTTACCTAAAGATTAAAGGTAACCAAGAAATTCATGAATAAATTTCATTGATGAATTTGTTGGTAATCTTTAATCTTTAGGTAACCATTTTGTGAAAATGGGCCTAAGAGAGCACAAAACGTCATTAATTCAACCCAGGTCGAACCGAAAACGCCATAAAAGTGAAAAGTCTTAAAGACGACTAAAAGATATCCACAAAAGTCATCCTTTATAGTTACATGGATAAGATGACTAGCAGTACGACATCTATCGTCTTTTAGTCATCTATTCGTCGACTATATTCTTTCACTAAAGATATCTTTTTACTTTTTTTCGATTTTATAAAGTCTACTACCCCAGCTCCTAATTTTGTATCTATTTCAATCCTGTTTTTATTCCGTTTAATTATAAGATTTTTATACGGCTGTAAATATATTAATAATTTCGTCATTCGTAGCACTCCCTTAATGTCCTTTTGACAACAAATAATATTAGTTTTCTAGTTAACGACAGCGACAATCGTCGATAAGGCGTCAGAGAATCCCTCTACCCTCCCTCCTCTTCCTCCAACTAGGATATGTTATAGTTGAAGTGAGAATGGATTTTAATTCATTCGAATGAGTACTTCAGTATGGTAATTTTCACTATTTTTAAATTCAATTGAATAGAAAAACTTTTTTTAGATCCAATTGAATTGAAAAATTTCCTATCCAGAATTTTGAACTCAGTAGCATTCATTTAAAGATACATTTAAAGAAATAAAATTTTTTTCAGATTGAAAGGCATAAAAATGTGCTTCATGCAATTCTTATAAAACAATAAAAATATATTGGGATTAAAAAGAATTCATTTTAACGTTTGCAAATGCCTACTTCCGAAAATCTAAATAAATCTATATTAATCCATTTTTGTTTACCTACTGGATAACAATATTTCCGTTTTTTTTTATGAGATCATGGTATTAATCATCAGTATATAAATTTTTTTATAAGATTATGGTATTAATCAACATAATGCGAGCAGAATTACTTATAGTAAAGATCAAAGAGGGCCGGCTCATTAGTCATCTTGTCAATTAGTGAGTCCCAGTCCTTAGGCAAAAGTGATGCCATTTGGTAGGCTTGTCGCGCGCTATACAACTTATACCAGATCGGATAATCATAAAGATTCGCTTCCTTTAGATTCATGACCCAGCTCTCATGATCGACGACCATCTGGAATAAACGTGTGAGTTAGAAAATGATAAAGAACGCTTATGTATAGGAACGTGTATGTATAGGATGTTGCTAGGGTATATATTCGTCGCATGTTCTGTCGTATTTGTATAATCATGTGGAACGTCATCTTACTTACTCTTGTAGTCTTGGAATGATCTCCATCAACGTAATATATTCTGTAGCCTGGATTGAGATCATAATATGGTGAGACCGAAGGACCAACGTAGGCGATACTGAGCGCTCTACCAAGATCTGATGTATCATAGAATATTTGAAACTCGTCGTAATGTGTATGTCCAAAGAACTGTGCCGTGATTGTTGATTCATAGCTATGCAAAAACAGAAGGAAAGTATTTGTCATCTAATATGTTGAAGTTTAATAACGATTTGTGAACGATCAAATACAAACCGATTAATTATGTGATAATAATTTCTCGACCACACCTTAAGGCAATCAGAATGTCCGGGAGGGATGTGGCCAATTATGTGCACCTTCTCGCCATTGATTTCGGCACCTTGCAGCTCATACAAAAGCCACTGCAGCTCGCTAACCGGATCTGTGCTATTGATTAGTAACCACCAGTTCTTATTATTACAATAATTCATGTTTATCGAGAGAATTCTGAAACCTGGTCGAACCAGGACCGAATAGAAGGCGCCGCGACGAACAGTGTGAGACACACCTGCTGGCAACCAATGCCGCCAGTGTTTATCAAGTTCATCATACAACCACGAGATACTGTTTTCCTGAGGCACAAAAGGTGGTGGGAAGCTAAAAAAACGATAATATAATATATATTATTTCTTACAATTAATTGAATTCTTTATTTTAGGATTCAAGATTCAAGAATTGAAATACGTTAAAAATTTGTAATTCTGATCTTCTTTCTATTTATTTAAATACATTTTGTATAAAAAAAAGACATAATATGAAACGATGGAAGTCTTTATACACTACTAAAAAAAAAATTATGGCATAAAAAATTTTTGGGGAAAAATTAGCAAATTTTACGATAACTTCATGAAAAATCATCATAGAATAATGAATTTTTAAAAATTAAAACTTGAAATCAATATTTTTTAAGATACTATCCCATACAGCACAGAACATTAAAATAACGTTGTTGAGATGTTGCAATGTTGAATGTTGAAGTGTCAATGTATTATCAATGTTGTATTTATATTGATTCTTCCACATTGATTATTAATGTTGCTGCAACGTTGAAACAATATTGAATAAATTAAACCACAAGTTGAATCTTTATTGATTTTTCCACATTGATTGTTAATGTTGCTGCAACGTTAAAACAACATTGAATAAATTATATATTAATTAATATCAATTTATATTTATATATTAATAGAATGTCATGTAAATAGAAAATTCAAATTACTTAAATTGATCTTTTAATGAAATTCATTTCTAAATGATATATATTTAAATTTATTGTTTACGCGGAAATCAGCCGCGCGCTCAGAGCCAGTACTCGCTAGAGTGAGTATCTTCAGAGTGAAGCCAATGCAGGTTCTTCTTCCTGATTGGTTTCGCCATTTCACGATTAAACTATTAATTACAAGAAGAGGGCGTAGAGAAAAAGAAGAGGTTAAAACTAGGAATTACGTCATAAACATCTATCATAAAATGGCGACTTTTGGCTTATTGGCTCCATGGCTCCACTCTCCTTATTGTACCCACTCTAATAGTGCTCGCGTGCGTGGCATTGGAGATTGATCCTTCAGCGGACTGAACTATCGCGGAGTGGATCTGTGAGCACCTAGCCGCTTTGCTGTCTTGAATTCACCCACTGTGTTTAACCGCCTGACCGGTCTGTTCGACCGATTTATTATTAACTGCAGGAAATAATCAGGTACGTATATATATATGTATATATATATATATATATATGTATTATTATTTTACATGTTCTTAAATAAAGTTCTTGCTTTTTGCTCTGTGAAATGAAATTATTATGCAGCATGCACGTGATTTAACTGGTTTTCAAGGTTATGTGTAACTAACGCGTGTAACTAACGTGGATATTATAGAAAGACTTATTTTACATTTTTATTGCAAAATCGAAGTGTAAAAAGAGGTTATGGATGTACAACACCCATTTATTATTACATATTATTAACATTATTATAGTTTTTTATTTGTAACCTTAGATAGGCTTATATATCTATTATTAAGTTCTTCTTTGTTATTTGTCATCTTATTAATCACTGATACTAATTTATTATATATTGGTTACATTTACAATAGAAACTGTCCGTGATCATCATAAGGATGTAACTAAGGAGGAAGTTGGCAAATTTATGGCAAAATGGCTAGTACAAGCTAAAGCTCGTCGAGAAAGAAAGTATGTATATGCATGTGTACACACACACATACAATTTTATGTACATTGCGGTGCATTAATTCGCTGAGTCATAGTAGCAGCTTAACTTATATTATCAATATTCCTATTCTTTTTAGCTGAACCTCTGCACCGGTACATTTTTTCCAATAGTTGGAGAAAAAAAGAGAAAACATGTACTGGTGCAAAAACTCAGCTAAAAAGAACAGGTCTATTGGTAAGTCAAGCTGCTACAATGACCGGTATGCGTTAATAGTTCGGGCCCGACACACAAAATATATGCGCAGCCAATTAGATCCGATTCGAGTTTTACGCGAATAAAAGCGATACTCGAAATATACTCGAATTATATGTATGTATGTGTGTATATATATATATATACAGCGTGTCCGAAAAGTGTGGAAACGGTCGAATATCTCGAGAAATACACATCGGATCAGAAATCTGAAAATATACGTATTCAATGTTTTCAAAAAAGCTATCTGGGTGAAGGAGAGGGTAAGTTTAAAATTTTAAATGGGAACCCCCATTTTTTATTGCAGATTTCGCTTCTTCAGAAAAAGTTACATAAATTTTACCTATTACAAACATTTTTTGATGACAGATGGCGCTGTAATCAGCGAAATTAAAAAATGAGTCTAAAACGTTTAAAATATCTCAAGAAATACTCAACGGAGCATATTCTCACCCTGGAGGTGGATGGGCGGGTAACTTTTCGATTTTGATTTTTTCTTTTTCTGTCAAAGCCATTGTAGGTACGTCAAGTTGAATTTTTGGATTCTGACTTCACATTCGTAATCAGCGATCCCAAAAACCCCCAAGTAACAAGTTTCAATCGAATTCGGGCATATTTTTTGCAAATTTACTCGCCGTACGTAAAATTTCGAAAAATTTTGAGCTTATAGGCGCCATTGTGAACTCAAAATCGAAAAATGAAAATTGTATACAGTACACGTTTTCGAAGTTTAACTATCGGGAACACGTTTCTGATACCTTATTACATACAAATGGACCTTCTGATACTTGTCTACGTTCTTTTCTGCTAATTGTTGGGGGTTGAAATCCATGTCGAAATTCAGCACATCTCGGCGTTAAAGGGTTAATACGACTTTTTCTGCAGAAGCGAAATCTGTAATAAAACATGGGGGTTTTCTCATTTAAAATTTTAAAGTTACCTACCCTTTCACCCCCAGTGGATGGTAGAGGGGGTGTAGAATTTTTGTGTCAATGGATAGCTTTCTTGACAATATTGAATACGTACATTTTTATTTTTTTGATCCTTTGAGTATTTCTTGAGATATTTTAAACGTTTTAGACTCATTTTTTAATTTCGCTGATTACAGCGCCATCTGTCATCAAAAAATGTTTGTAATAGGTAAAATTTATGTAACTTTTTCTGAAGAAGCGAAATCTGCAATAAAAAATGAGGGTTCCCATTAAAAATTTTAAACTTACCCTCTCTTTCACCCACAGCGGGTGGGGGTGGGGGGTCATGTTAGATGTCAAAAGATAGCTTTTTTGAAAACATTGAATACGTATATTTTCGGATTTCTGATCCGATGTGTATTTCTCGAGATATTCGACCGTTTCCACACTTTTCGGACACCCTGTATATGTAATGAGGAGAGAGAAAGAAACGTGGATGAGAAACGAAAGAGAAGATTAGGAAAAAAGCGAAATCACGATCGAGATGTTCAATTTTAGAGATGTAAAAAATAAAAACCGGTCATTTGTTTTTTTTTCTAAGAAGCGAATCGCAATGCGGGCAGTCTTCTCGCGACCACGAACCTGAGCTTTTTTTATGCGAGTTGTTCTTCATCCGTTCGCATCCACCAATGTGGTTGGAGCTTTTAGATTCATTGTGTCTAGTGCAGTCTAATGTGAACATTATAATAAACTTGTATTCTTAAATAAAAACTCAGTTGTGAAAGGTGACTGTTTACTGTGAAACGCAAATACAGGGCGAGAGCATACGCCCTCGTGCTGATGTACAAATATTTGTACCCTACAATGACACAGCGAATTAATTAATGTACTGTATGAACATACAAACAAAATTTAATAAAAAAAATATATATACAGGGTGTTAGTTTAATATGTTCCCAAACTCAACAGAGCGATTCTTAGGTTTATTTCAAGTAAAAAAGTCCATATAAACATGTGTCCTAAACAACTTAGTTTCCGAAATACAGGTGAATGTTCGCAAATGTTTGACAAAACGATAATTTCGTTGGAGATATCTTCCTGCATAAGTATGCCTTGCTTCATGTGAGTTACTATTCGCACAACCGTAAACAAAGTGATAAAGTCAAAGTCAAAGTAAAAAATAGACTTCAGTCCTGATGTTGCTGCGGGTCAGTTAGCTTGTACATACGTTTTTGGGCCAAATTGTTTCAATCCATCAAAATCGGTTTCATCATGCCTAAGTTTACAAATTTTGAAATGGCAGATATGCCCACCCCAATTGAGAATGAGAATGATTTGAGGAATCGAATAGTTGCTTCATGCGAGGCAATACGTAACACACTTGATATCTTTGAGCGATACGTCAATCTTTGAGAAGAAGACTCGATGGATGTATCATGGCGCAAGGTGGACGTTTTCAACAATTCATCTAATTGTTTTCTTTCATTAGAAGAACTGAAGCCTGTTTTTGTTTTTCTGTTTTTGACTAGTTTTTGACTAGTTCAAGTTGTATTTCTTTCAAATAAACAGATTATTACTACACGTTAAAATTTTTTTATTTCGGAAACTAAGCCGTTTAGGACACATGTTTATATGGACTTTTTTACTTTAAATAAACCAAAGAATCGCTCTGTTGAGTTCAGGAACATACTTAACTAACACCCTTTATATAATTGAGAATATTCCGTAACTAATGATGGTGACTGAGAAAAGAATAAATTTACATAACAAAATAAGTTAAAAACGTAGAATAAAATTTGTTCATATGGGGCTTTGTTTTCGGTAAAATTGACTGTAAATATTCGCCGGGTACATGTACGATTTCTCGCTATAAAAAAAACTATCTCTACTCATATTTATTTGTGTTTATAATTGCATTGAGTAATCGAAAATACATACAAGATGTTCATGCAAAATGAATTTTATTATCACTGTAAGTCGCTGAAAATGTTGCCCGAAAACAAAGTTTTGCTTATTATATGAAAAAACGTTACGTTTTGGACTTTTTCATTATGTAGAGATAGTAGACTCATCCAATCCTTTTCTCGGTTATAACATCGGATATTATAAAATATCCTGCATATTTATTTAGCTCCAAAATATATTGCTATAATATATGTGTTACGTCCGGGAGGACTCCACGATTTCCTCGTTTCGAGATTACTTAATAGGGTGATCGTTAAGACAGAATGTAAGAGAAAACGCGAGAGTTAA